ATGATGGCACCATGGAGCATATAAATTGGTACCTTCTCTAGTACCATATTATGATACCACTTCCTGACGTTCATTTGGGCTCATATTTGATATATACTTACATATTTTTGATGACATTGCAATATTATGGTACCATGAAGCATATCAAGAGGTACCATAATAGTACCATATACGATACCATTTCCTGGCGTTCGATTGGGCTTAACTTGGTATAGTAAGTATCTTCGGTGACATTGTAATATAATGGTACTATGATGCATCTACTATGATGCATATATAAAGTGGTACCTTAATATACTACGATACCACTTCCTGACGTTCCACTACGATATCACTTCGTGACGTTCGATTTGGCTCATATTTGATTATACTTGCGTATTTTTGATGACATTGCAATATTATGGAAGCATGAAGCATATCAAGGGGTACCATAATGTAGTACCATATTACGATACCATTTCCTGGCGTTCGATTGGGCCCAAATTTGATATACTTGCGTTTCTTTATAAAGATTTGTTTAATTAATAATTTTAATTTATTTTATGAATTTTAATTTATTGTACGATGTCGGTGACAGCAACTTTTATGCTTAAGTAATATATTATTAATTGTACCTGTGTCACTTTTTAAAATCTACCTAGGTCTATATAAATAACGTGGCAAACAGAAAAAAATTGTTATTATAGTATTTTTTAGTCAATTAACATTTTTTGTACTGCATTTTAATAAATCGTTTCCATTATTATTAAACGTATATTTCATTACTAACGTTTCAGCATTAATAAATATCACTATCAATCGCCCTGTATATTATTAATTTTAAAGGTAGTTAAAGTTATTTTCTTAGTTAACATAATAAAGTAGTGTAGATATATTAAAAATGTATTTTGAGAGCATATGTTTTCTAATAATATACTTAAAATTAAAACTATTTTAAAAGCCAAACGAATAATTAATATAAGTGTATCTGACAAGAAACGAAGAATAGAAAGGAATTATTATACACCAGAAAAAGAATGGGATGCCAGTTAAAGTCTGTTTGAATCTGGCAACTGTGCATTTTTAGCCGAGCTTCAAGGCCGTCGACGTGCCGTCGATCTACGTCGATCCAAAACTGAAAGTTGAAAATTTCCAATTATATTCTGATTATGATATTGTCGCGCCATCTAGTATTTTATTTGTGCAATTTTAGCTCTTTCATTTCGAGTATTTTTCTGTTGCGTAGCTAGATATTCTGTGCTACTGGGTAAGCGAATACTTCAATCCCCTTACGCCTTGGTCATTAAAAATAAGTAAAACAAACACGTTAGTTGTTAGATTTCTTTCTGGCGTATGTGCGTAAGCAGCGTAAGTGAAGAAAAGTGTTTAACTAGTACTTGTGGACAATTTCGTCAAATAAACTGCCGGACATAATTATCGGGACAAGCAAAATTTTAAAGTAAATGTAAAGTTGAATTTCTCTTGAACTAAAAAGATTTTGGGATGTGGTTGGGACGTCTTTGGTTGGGACCAGGTTTTAAATGCATCTATTGTGACTAAGATGCTATATGTGGTTTTCGAAAATATATTTAGCGAATTATCGTATACAGGGTGTTTTACAAGAGTGTGAAAATTTGGTCAAGAATCTTTTTTACCGCAAATTTACAATTCTTAAAAAATCGAAATTTTTACCAAGTACGACAGTACGACTAATCTGTATTGAAATTAGAAAAAACAATTTGATCGGTTTTTTAATTTTTTTTTGTTTTAAGGAAAATACGACGTTTTTTCGAAAAATATGCATTTTTAGTCATACGTATGGTCCTAAATGGTACAAAAAGCTTTGTACATTCTGCATATGCCAAAAAATTATTGATATAGAGTGTATCTAAAAGCAGATAACTAACACAAGTTAAAAAAAACTTCAACGTCAGAATAATATTTTTATTTATGAAATAAGTAGATAAATTATAATAAATAAGTTTATTTAATATTAAATATATTATTTGAACACCTTGTATCAGTCCAAATTTCTGTACAGCTAGTTTAAGATACACGCTATATCAATATATTGTGGCCCTATGCAAAATGTTCAATGCCTTTTGTACCATTTAAACCTCCTATTTTCCTTAAAACAAAAAATTTTAAAAAACCCACCAAATTGTTTTTTTTTCAATTTCAATACAAATTAGTCGTACATAGTTAAAATTTCGATTAATTGCATAAAACCATTATATTAGCAAGTTTAATAGGTTAAGTACAAAGAGGAGCATTTATTGTTTACAATCCCGCAATTTTGCGGATCCCGCGGGATTGATTGCTTTAATCCCGCGGGTCTGCGGGATTGAGATTTTGGTGCGGGATTGCATTCCCTAGTAGGAAGTATTTTCATGCGTTAATATGATAAAGAGATAAGAATTTTATTTGCTGGGAAACAATATAACTCAATATTTCGTGTCACCTCATTTTTTTCAGACACAATAGGGAGATAGCAGATATTCGTCTTGCAGAAATAAGAAATACAAATATACTTCTGGAGATAGCAACCTTTATTGCTTGAAATTTTGAAAATGGAATTGAATATTACCCAAACAGATTTAGAAATAATGAATTAAATTTAAAAAATATGATATTCATAACCATATATGTATTTAGAATATCGTCGGTCTAGAAGCGAAACATACAGTACTCGTCCAAAAACGAATAAATTTTTAATGCATATTTAAAGATCTGAAGTAGCAGCATTTTGGACTTAATGAATATGAAAATCCATGCTTATCCTAATTTTTATACAACGGTAGTAGACCGAGCTTGGAAAACAGTGCGTGATTTTATTAAATTTCTATTACTTTTCTCCTTATTTTTTTAATTTTTATAAAAATTATGTATCATTTACGTGGAAAAACGTTGAAAAAAATAAAACTGATTAGGTATTATGGAAATTCTTGTACAAGTAAGTAATGGTTATTTAAACTATTTATAGCACGCCGATGAATTGCTCGTATATAGAGAATTTCGTTTTTCCCCTTACCCTTTACGGATACCCCGTATTTACAGAACGGATCGACGCAGGGTCGAACTGGCCATATTATATATGTATATATAACTATTAGGGGACCCAAGCCTTTGCGGGCTCCCTTTATAGTTCTTTATTATTCTTAACAATATTTGCTTTTGCATTGCATATGGCATTTGCATTTGCATTGCATTGGTTTACCTTGCAGTAGGGTAGTTCCCTGATTTCTATACAGGGTGAGTCTTAAATAAGTGCAAATATTTTCAGGGCTGGTAAATCTCGATAAAAGACACATAATATTTCCTCTTTACCGTTTTTTCAAATAAATCCAAAACAACTGAGTTATTTCACTTTTAAAATTTAAAATTTTTTGCTACAATCTTGAGAATCATTGGATTTCCTTTCTTGTAAATTTGATCTACTACCTATGTTGCCATATTACAAAGTATGTTTTTAAACTAAAAATTAAAAAAAATTCAAATTTCAAGAAAAAAAATTTCGCCTAAAAAACCTCATAATCGTGTTTCTTGGGCGAAATATTTCTTTCTTTCTACCTCTAAAAATATTTGCATTTATTTAAGACTCACCCTGTATATACTTAATAGGGAAAAATTGACCAAAACGTAAAGCGAAAAAAAAGGCAAAAAAAATCCACACGGGCCCCTTCTTACATTGCCACCCGGGCCCCTTTGGCCTAGTGCGATCCTGGATCGAAGTACTGTCCTAAAGAAACATACGAGTAAGAATCCGTGTATTTGCTTTAGCGTGATCGTAACGGAAATTATGGACTTAGCAGCATTTCGGTGGCTATTTCAGATCACTGGGAGTTAGCAGATATTATTGAGTTAAAATTGCAAATTTTCTTTAATGGGAAAAATGTATTTGCTTTCCCTATTTATAGAGTATTTTTTTCCCTTTCTAATGGTATAAAAAAACTTATTAACGTAAAAAATGGAGTTAGCAGGTTATCACGTTTCACTGACGATATCTACTGTCTTTTTCGTTTGAAATATAATAAAACATGAGTTTCTGGTAATGTTTAGTGGTCGGACAGCAAAAACTCAACACAAAACACAAACGCAGATCAAAGGAAATAAAAGTCGTCCGACCACTGGTCAACGCTAAATGTAATATATTTGAGAGGTCAGACAGTAGCCCCTTTTCGACGTCATATTGCAGAGTTCAGACTGATTTTTTATGACATTTTGGTTATTTTCAAGCATGAAGTAGCAACAGCAACAGCATTTGCATTAGAAAAAACAGTCCAAACAGTATACAGGATTCCAAGTCAACAGTACAGAACCATATTAAAGACAAATAAGCGACGTTTGCAAACGAATGGAACGAGAACTTGTTTTACCAGAGAAATTAAAAAAAAAATTGTTACCTGGATTGAAAACTTAGCCGTTTGCGGATTTCCAATAAAAAAAACAAGTGTGATTTAATACAGTTGAAAAAATTGTATCTAAAAGAAGAAAAATTGAAAACGCTATTTACTAATGGAAGCATCAGTATATGAACCGCGTTGGTATCGCTTAAAGACGATTTCTTCCTATATGGTAACTACCAGGCCGGATACTGGCAAGCACTGTCTGACTACTGACAAAACAGCACTTTTATCACTTAAAAAATAATTAAAATCATAATAAAAAACTGTAATATTTAACATGACGCCCAATACTATCTATTTCATAAAATTTCATTTCCATGCCAAAATTTAATCAACAATTTAAACTCAGCTTTTTCTAAACTGTCCGACCACTAGTATACTTATTCACCCTATATGGGGAACGTCATCAATCGCCATTTCAAAGCAAACTCAGGGACTTTATTTCTTTCGATCATAGGGTCCTTAAAAAGCGAAAATACTTGAAGAACTTAAGAATATGTTGATATTAACACAATATGATTTATTTTTGAAAAGAGAGATTTTTGAGGCAGGACGTGAGCTTCGTAAGCCCAAGTAGGTACTTGAAGACAGATTAATAAATTTGCTAAAACTTACCTTCTGAGTTTAACGGGGTAATGGTGGTGGTTGAAGTGGGAGCCAGTGCAAGAAACTGGGGGCAAAGCAAGCCCCATCCAATAATTTTCTTCTAGAGAGAATCCCTTTGCAGGATCTGAAATCAAGGGAATTGTTCTTTTGATAAATCACGCAGTGTACATATTTCTGAGACCTATTAATTACCTTAATACCAAAATAATCTTATGGCCATTTGCCAAACGTCAAAAAGACCACACTACAACCTGTGTGGTTGTTCTGGCATTTTTTACTCAATTTAGATTCTGTTCTACTCACCACGTTGGACGAACCCTTTTAAATTCTTCTCTGGCCTAAACACATTTCAAACGACGAATATTTCGCGATTTTATATCGGTATAAACAAAGGTTTCAATTATAAATTAACGGAACTTTGGCATGGGGCAAAAAACACTGGTTGTGATATTCTGACCGAACTTACACTTTCCCGCTGATATTAACCGTAAATTTTCATAAGTCCATCACAATATAAATTAATTTCATCATAATATCCGGAAATTTTAATTCAGTTTTCTCACAGTAAACAAAAAATTTGTTATTGTCAAAAAGTATCAAATATTGACTGAATTTTTGACTTTTGCGCCTCTATCGACAGATGTTTGAACTAAAGATGTATTTTTTCATCGATAGATGTCACTATAGATATTCTTCTTTTGTATAAGATTGGCTGTTGCAATTCAACCGCGTAATAAAAGTCAAAAAATAAAAACTCTTGAAATTTTATTTATTTAATATTTTTTAAAAGATAATTAAATAATTATTGTGTCATTCGCTAACATAAATATATATATTATATAATATTTTTATAATAGGTTTTCTATTAAATATTTTGTTACTAAAAAACGCATATTGAGTCATATATAAAATTTATCAAGAAAAATTCGTTAATATGATTTAAGGCTAAAAACAATAAAAACGAAGAATTTTCTGAGTTAACCAATATTTTTTGTGTGTTTATTTTAATTTTTATTTTAATCGTCTTTAAATTAATTATAATAATTATTATTTATCATGGATGATATTCTTGACAAAGAAATTGACCACAATAATATTAGGGCACTGGACAATTTAAAATACGACTATTCCAGTACCCACTCAGAAGACGAAGAAGATTTCGACATCGTCACTGAAGAAATCTCAATCAAATCCGAAAATGATGTCGATATGAATGGTTCAGATGTAATAATAAAATCAGAAATGAAGGAAAAAAGCTTAGACTTAAGTACAGATATAATTATGCCAGAGGCATCAAATTCTAGCTTAAGCAATTCATTTAATCTAATTACAAAACCTAAAAAAGATGTAAAAAGTAAAAGGGAACTGGAAGAAGAGGAACGCGAAAAGATGCAGTGAGTTTTAATTATTTACCACTTATATCCAGTTTAGACACAATTTCGTGTTTGTTAGAGTTTTAGTGTCAAATTTCACAGAAGATCAATTGGATCGTTATGAAATGTATCGAAGGTCAGCCTTTCCAAAAGCAGCCATTAAGAGACTAATGCAAACCATAACAGGCTGTTCTATCTCTCAAAATGTCGTCATTGCTATGGCTGGTATTGCAAAAGTGTTTGTCGGAGAAGTTGTTGAAGAAGGTATAGATTAAAGTTAAAAATATATAAGAATATGCTTAAAATATAAAAAAAAAATTAACCCTTATATATTTTCAACAGTTACTTGAAATAATTCATATTTTTATTGACTTATTCATTATTCCGTGCATTAATTTCAGGTCTTGATGTAATGGAAGAGTTGGGAGATACTGGTCCTTTGCAGCCAAAACATTTAAGAGAGGCAGTAAGAAGAATGAGAAAAACAGACAGTATACCAAGTGGTCGAGATTATAGGACACATTTTAAGCTTTAATATTAAATTAGTTAAAGTCAAATATTTTATAAACAGTTTTTTAAGTTGTTATAAGTGAAAAATTTTATTTTAAGTTTTATTTATCTACACGTTGTGTGTGTATTACTGAACTTTGTGAATAAAAACAATTTACTGACAATATTATATTCTTTGATATTTACAGCTCTTTTCAATAATATTATGCCAACATTTCTGAAATCAAGAATATTTCAATTAAATAATATATTAAACTAATATTGTATGATAAAAAAAAACGGCGTCAGCGATGGCTACGAAATGAAGATCGCTGTCATCTTATATTTAAATTTATATGGAAAATGTCATCGATCGTCATTTCCCAGCCAATTGGACGCCGTTTTTTTTTCGATCATACGGTACCTACTAATTAGCATTTCATTTGTAATTTTAACTTAGGATATAGCATTTAGGAAAAAGCATATTAAATTGCATAAATATCAAGTTAAACATACTATTAAGGCTATTAAAATTATTCTTCATCATTTAATTTATTACATTATTTTTTGTGTAATTTTCTATTCTAAAATTAGATTAATTGACTAGTAATAATTTGATGGGTCTATAGCAGTGATTCCCAAAGTGGTCCAGGTGGACCCCCAGGGGTCCACGGGAGACTTGCTGGGGGTCTACGTAGGCGTGAACAAAAAATGGGGGTCCATAAGATGTTAATGGGGGTCCACGAAAATTTATCTGCTTTTGATAGTAAAGAGCAAAAATGTAAGCATAGTTTTTATAAGGGCCTACCTACATTGTTTTAAGTACCTATCTAAGCAGATAATATTTTAATAAGGCAAGCGACTGTTACTTGTCCAAACTTGCGTATTCGATATTACGTACAATTTCGTGTACAGACTTGCAAAGCGCTATCCGCCCGACAATGCTTAATGCTTGTTCAGATATGAACTTGATCACCACTATAAATACTTGATGCCAAAGGCAAACGCATTCATTTGTTTCCGGAATTTCGAAAAAAAAGGCGGAATTTGGAAAAAAAGTTGTGAGAAAATTTATATCTGTGTTTGCTAGTGCCGGAGAAAAGTAAGTAACCTACCTTTTTTGTTATAGTACTTAAGTATTTTGTTTACGTGTACTAGTCGGTTGATCACAACGGCCTGTATAGATAGGTAACTTAGTAACTTACAGATATTTTAATTGTCCTCTTTCGATTTGAAGACAAACACAGCACGTTTTATTCAAATGTTTTTCACGAGAGAAACACTGCCTCTCTAAAAAGGCCGAATAAGCAATATTGCAGAGCAATTAATTTTGTAATTTTTCTTGCAAATAACTACTAATTTTATAAAACAGTAATTTCATAATCATTTTAAATTGGTTTTGAAGTAACTATTTTATCAAAACTATTCCTTTTGGGAAAGAGCGAGCGGTGCGCGGGCGACGGGAAAAGGGCGGGGCTTGGACTTCGATGCCAGTTTGTCACGTTTTAACAATGAAGCCGCAGACAAAAAATACGCAAATACACGGAGCGCGTGAACTCATTGATTTAATAAAATGTTAGTTATCGTTTTTATGGACAATTTTGGGATTTCGACTTTTATTTTTTCCTACACAAATATGATCAGTATTCGATACTGAGTACACCAATTTTTATTTATACTATTAAAAAATTAGTGGTAAATTATGTACTTTAAAATTGATACCGTTTTGTGAAAACGTCTGTATTTGTCTCAGCGGTTTATTAGTTGGTCCCTTTACAAGCCGTAATTCTATTTCCGCGTGCTGACAAAGGCTGCGGTGTGATACCTATATTCAAAAAAACTTGGTTACTAAAACATTTTTTTTTTACAGGTAAGGTAACTGACACGAAACATGGCTACAGCAAAGAAAAAATGTCGACAATATAGTATCGATTATTTGAAATATGGTTTTGTTCCATCAGAGGCAGACAAACAATTGCCCATGTGCCTATTATGCAACAAAGTTTTGAGCAATGACTCTATGAAACCATCAAAGCTCGAAGATCATCTAAAAAGGTGTCATACTGATAAAATAGGTAAAGATTTAAAATATTTTCAAACATTGAAAGAAAAATATGGAAAGAGACCCACCATGCACAGTATGTTCGCTTCAACATCTCAAAGTAACGATGATGGCTTGCGGGCATCTTACAATATCTCATTACTTATAGCAAAATCTGGAAAACCGCACACTATCGGAGAACAATTAATTTTACCCGCTGTTGAAGAGGTTTTAAAAACTGTTTTGCACAAATCTCCATTTGACGTACTAAAAAGAATTCCATTAAGTAACAATACTGTACAAAGACGCATTGATGAAATGAGCTCTGATATCGAAAGCTTTTTGTGCAATCATCTGCAAAAAACTCATTTTTCTATACAACTGGACGAGTCAACGTTACCCAGTAATGAAGCATTACTATTGGCATATGTCCGATTTATTGTTGAGGAAGAAATTCACGAAGAATTGCTATTTGCCAGAACTTTGGAGACTGACACTAAAGGCGAATCAATATTTAATGTCCTGAGTAATTTTTTTACGGAAAAATCGATCCCATTTACAAACATTATTTCAGTGGCAACAGACGGAGCTCCTGCAATGGTCGGGCGATATCGTGGGTTTATAAGTCATCTCAAAAGAATTATACCAGGACTTACAGCTATTCATTGCGTAATCCACCGACAACATCTTGTGGCAAAACATTTAAGTGACAGGTTGAACCAATCTCTTCATTTTGTAATAAAAGCTGTCAACAAAATCAGAAGCAATGCATTGAATACGCGTTTATTTGCTCAATTGTGCGACGAAAATGATGAAGACTTCCAACGACTGCTCTTACATACTGAAGTACGCTGGTTGTCGAAAGGTGCATGCTTAACGAGATTTTACTCTGTTTTCGATTCCATATTAGAGTTCTTAGAAAGTAGAGATCCAGATTTAAAAGAAAACTTGATCAAATTCAAAGCAGACATTGCGTATTTGACAGATTTGTTTAAAAAATTTAATGATATTAACTTGCAGTTACAAGGGGACAGCCTGAATTTAATAAAAACAAAGGGGATAATTTCGGCTTTTCTTGGGAAATTGAAATTTATGAAGCAAAACATTAGTCGGCGCGAATTCTCTCAATTTCCAAACTTGTCGCAGGTAGAATGTATTGATGAGGATATCCATACCTACAGTCAACATTTAAGTGCTCTGCATGATGACTTCAAAACCAGGTTTGAAGATATACTGACGATGGATATACCACCATGGATCATAAATCCATTTGATGAAACGGAAGTGGCCAATGTTGTATTACAAGAGGAGCTGCTCGAGCTAAGCACTAATGAGGAGCTGAAGGTGAAATTTAGAAAAGGCTACCCAACATTTTGGCTGCAAGCAGAAATACCCGAAAAATATCCTGGACTGTGGGAAATCGCAAGGAAATTTTTAATAGCTTTTCCCTCGTCATACCTTGTCGAAAGGAGTTTTAGTGCCGTTACAAACCTCTTAACAAAAAAAAGAGCAAATTAAACATCACAGAGCGGGGGGATTTGCGGTTATTGCTCACAAAAAATAAAGCCAAACATTGATCGTTTGCTGACACTCCATCAGATACATCCTTCCCATTAATTAAAATTATGACCTGAACCTATATTACCTTAATATTTTTTCTTGTAATTCTATTCTTTTAATAAATAAAGTGATATAAAATGTACCATTTTTCGTTTTTATTTTACATATCGGAATATAGGGACAGAACTCAGAAGTGACACAATTTTTATTTTTTGGCGACTTTAAGAATGTGATAGAAATGTAGCAGCAGGGGGTCCACCGAAACCAGTAAAATTTTGAAAGTGGTCCACGAGAAAAATAAGTTTGGGAACTACTGGTCTATAGGATGGCCCAGTATTTTGAAAAATTTCCATTATATGTTTCCTATTTGATTTATTCATCTATTTTCGGAAATATAGGAGATGGGGGAACAATGAATGGAAGGGGATTCAATAATACATATATTTTGACATTTAGTTTTTAAATGATGAAATGTATGAGTATTTTATTTACTCAGTGAATACTGGTTATAAACTATATGAATGTTTGAAATATGATCAATTTTAGATTAAAATATCTACACATTTAAAACTGTCAAAATTTTAAATAATCATGCTTTATTATAATAAATCAACACATCTTTTCAATTATTATGCTTTATTTTTATTAAACACTTTCTATACTCAAAATCGTCATTTCTTGAGTATTTTTCGTTTTTTTTTAATAAAACACGTGCAAATAATATCACAATACTTTTTTCACTCGACAAATTCAACAATAAAATTTTATTAATTTCACTAGTGCAGCCGATAACACCCATTTTAAATGCATATAACTGGTAAATACCTATCATATACAGGGTGGTCCGTGTATTCCGGAAACTTCGGCAGCATTATCTTCAGATAAATATAAGTAAAAAAGTTGGTATAAAAGTATTCCTAAAATGCTTAGTTTCGGAGATACAGGATGTAGAAGTTTCATTTTTATTTTGCTTTTTTCCAAATAATTTCTGAAGTAACGTCAATATTTTGATGAAAATTGGTGTTTGGGAGTTTTTTGGCATGAGAAATTTGATTTTGATGTCAGTATATGACTCCTACTTGTAGAGAGCGCTACCTATATATTTTTAATAATTGTTATGAAGAGTCTTTATGATAAATAACTTTTCGTCCGGCCGAGCCTGTATAAAACTACTAGGTGAAAAAATTCAATAATTTTTCCAATTCCAAATATTAAAAAATGTGTCTTGGTAAAAATCGCTACGAGCAACCGTCCACAAGATATTTAGAATGGAAATAGTCAATACATGTTATTATTGACAAAAAATAAGCATGTTGAGAGATATAGTTATTTGCCTGAAATGACAAATTTGAGAACTTTTTATTTTTTTAAATTAATCATAAATTCTTTTTCGAAAAATGATGATAAAATAGTTTCTGTTGAACTTTTGGCACAAAAACATCTCAAATTTATGATTTCAGTCTATTAACTATTTAGTAAACATATGTTTAATTTATGTCAATCATGACAAGAATTGATGATTTAGATTCCAAATATCTCGAGAACCATTACTCGTTTACTTTTTACCGTAAAAACTTCGTAAATGTATATTTTTTCACCCAGTGA